TTAAACCAGGTCAACACGTTATGAACAGATATTGACTATAAAGATTTCTGACTCTTACCAGCTGCCATAGATTCAAAAGTTGAAAACTTGTGCCAAGTTTTTCTTTCAACATCTTACATAAATATTGGAAGCTATTTTTTTATAAGCCTGTTGAGTTTTTGACAAAGGAAAACTAGGTCCTAATTTTCATTTACAATAAATGTTTGTAAGAAAAATAAGTGTTGCAGCAGACATTCATAAATTGTTAGTGGTCGAAATGAATTACACAGGTTCAAAATTTGATGCCAGATGTGGACCACTAGCAGCTATTATTTGAATATTTTATCTCTCACCAAGAGCACCTTCCCTTTTTGCCCTTGCCTCTTGACATTCTAGATAATGTATATCCCAATTCTACATTTTTTTATATGCGATAAAAAATATATAAAATAAAGAAGCAGTTGGGGTGTTTCAATCCTTTTATACATCAACAAGCAAAGGTCAAAATCACGAAAAATTAAACCAGAAGGTATCACCCAATACCCTTTATCGTAGTTATTCTATAAGCAAAACAGAACAAGATTTCTAAAGACAAGAGACGAAATGTTGAAGTGCATGTCCATAAGTACACACTTTGTGTACTACAAAAAGATTTCACATGCTCACCCCTTTTGTGATCAGATTATTACACATTACGACTTTGTTTAAGATTACTTTCCATGCAAAATGTAAGGTTGTTGACAAGGCTTTAAAATATTTTTTGATATTTTAATTATATTGATTAATATTTTTCATTCAACGACTAAAAATGACACAAAAAGCATTTTTACTAAGAATTGAAACATATAAATTTGCAGGAAATTAAAATATATTTAAATATAATATTTATTATAGTAGATTAAAATAATTAAGAAAGAAAGATAGAAAAAATCATTAATAAAAAGAAACCATTAGAAAAAATCGTGAAGAAAACATTAAATTAATATTTAAAGATGAAAATATTAAATAAGGTTTTCTTTTTTGGAAAGATAGTTAGTTAGACAATTTCTCTTTTGTTAGAAAGATATCCAAAGATGTATGATAACTCTATTACATAAGAAGCTAAAGTAAAAGACATTGTAAATTGGAATAATGAGATTAGTTTGAGTGAGAAAAACCACACGTTGCTAATTTCCTACATTAGTTGTCTGAGTGTGATGTGGATATGAACAAAGAAGATGGGTGGGTTTAGAAGGATAATCATACTAATGTTTATATTGTATGAAAAAATATTTTAATTTAAGATAGGTCTATTAGACATATAATTTATTTGAGTAATATAGTTATTATTTATTATATTGTAATTTATTTTCCTCTAATATTACATTTTACTTCATTTTGATGTTATAATATTGAATCTCATATAATGTTTCAATATATCATAAACATGAATTATATCTCTAAAGAAAAAAAACATCTTTTATTTACGTTAAAGTATGAAATATACTAATTAATTAAATTACATACCTAGAAATATAATTATGTTAATTTAAAATACCATTTTACCTTAATTATATTAATAGTTTTTACTGATAGTGTTAAAATAACCATAATTAAGAACAAGGGGTGATATAAGAATGTGAGGAATTTAAACTGCCAATTTTCTTTTTTGCTGGAACTAAATGCAGATGAGTCATGCTTGTAAGAATTAAAAACATAAACATTATAAATAATTTTCTCCCTAACACCATGGAAGAATTTAATTTTGAAAATTAAAACTTACTACTATTTTCTTCATACATTAATTAGTCAATAATACATTAAAAAATATAATAATTTCAAACAAATTAAGTATAAACATCTTCTGTTTAAGTTCAAATCCTCCACCTATTGCTTGAATCTTGTGTTATTTGTCAGTTTGCATCATCTTTTGAAGGAATATGTCATTTTCTTCTTGAGTTGCACCCTCATCAGTATCACATTTTTCATCCTTATCTGTACATACATTATTAAAAATTATCATAATGTGTCAGTGTGGGTTCATCACCAAATGATAAAAAAATTATAAATACGTACTGTATTGTCTGTATGAAAAAAGAATACAAAATACCTAACAATCATATGATAACTTTATTTAATTATACGGTTTAATTAAACTTCAAGTAATTTATAAATATATTTTTCTCTTTAATTTTTTGTATTTTTTCGATCAACTCAGCAAAAGAAGTGTTAGTAAAAAAAAAGTAAGTTGATATATAAATTAAAGACGATAAAATAAAACTAACAATCACAATATTTTATTAACAGCGGCATAAATCTCATATAAGAATATTTAGATAAAGATACAAAACATTTTAAATGTTCAATATATCAAATATTTTTTAATGAAAATTAAATTGAAAATATTAAGAATTATGAGTTACTTAATTTTAATGCAAAAAAGCGAGGTAACAAATATGGAGCATTTTCTCTTATTCATGTAAAAAAAAATCGTGAATGCAAGGTTTTTACATAAAGAAATAGAAAATTAAAATAAAAATTTTATTTTGATAGCATTTGCTTATCATTTCTATCATCATGCCAATAGAAGCTGTATTTCAGTTTTGTTCAAAATAAGAAAATTATTTAATTGCATACTGACAAAAACTAAAGGTGGAGGAAACATATAATAGGGAATATAACTCTACCAGTCTAGTTTTCCTTAAATATTACTCTTCATTCTAACTACTTTGGATTAGAATAATTAAACATACAAAATTTTAGTTTTGACTTCTTGTAATTAAGATAAAATGGTTTTTGTTTAATATGTTTTTAGTCATTTTAAACTTAATGAAAACTTGTTTGGTCTCAACTATTGGTTACTTGTCAATTACATTTGTGTTTTTTTTTTTTTGTGAAAAAGAAGAAATAAAAAAAATATATAAAAAATGTGTTATTTAAATGGATAAAAATAAGTAAAAGAAAAAGTTCTATTTAGATTAGTAAAAAAATTTATTCTGAGTGAAGATGTGCAAAGTAGTAATATTGAAATAATAACAATCTCAGTATGATTTAAATTAAGCAAAATCCCTTGACCAAAAATATGATTTGACATAAGCAGCACGTCAATTAGGGACAGTTGTTTAGGACTAATCACCAATATAAGCCAAGATCACAAAATAATCATCTTAAATTTTACTATCCTCTTTATATCTTTGGAAAATAAAGCTTTACAACTTTACCTTTATGAAAAGTCTTACTACATTCTTTATCCTATTAGTTGTCATCTTTTTCTTACAAACAATTCAAATAAAGTAATAACACAATAGTTAGGGTTCCTATGTAATCATTGTTCTTGGTTCGGAATAAACAAATGCCAATATAATTTAGAAACAATATATAAAATTAAAGACATTCATCATTTTTAGAAGTTTAATCTAACCAAAAGAATTAGTTTCAATAAAATAGTAAAAATATATTTTAACTATTAATAATTTGAATTCTAATTCAAATGTTTGATTATTTTCGGTTTTTATATTTTTATTTTTTAATTGAATTTTTATTTTGGTAAAACAACTTAAGGTATTTTTTTTTTTGTCAAAATTGATGTTAACACAGTTTAAAAATGTTACATATCAAAATATAAAGCTATATCACATACCAGCAATTAAGTTATCCTTTATCTTAGTATCTCTTATTTTGACACATAATACGAAAAGAATTCAAATTTATCATTATTTCAAACTATATTAATATCAATTTAACGAAAGTGATTACATATTTACGTAATGAAGTGTCTGTAGTGCACTCTTGGCCTAAAAAAACTGCAAGTAAATCAGCTGATTGTTTGTCCAAAGATGATAGATGATTACATAGAATTTTTTTACAAAAACTTATACTCAATTATTTTTTTAAAAAAATAAAGACTCAAGTGTAAAAATATAGAAACAGAAAAAAAAAATCAAAGACTTATATATATATATATATATATATATATATATAAGACCAAATTACTAATTAAATCTTTAAATAAATTTTCATATTTAGTGTTAATAGTGATTTGAGTATAATGGTATTCTAGTAAAAGATTAAGAGTACAATTTCTTAGATTTTTACACAGTTTCAGTAGACATAGGAACTGCACAACACGCATTACCAGCAACACCACAGCAACTCAACTCTATGTATCATCTATTCATCTTTGGACAAACAATTAGCTGATTTACTTGCACTTTTTTAGGCCAAGAGTGCACTACAGACACTTCATTACGTAAATATAGCACCACTGATTGAATAAGCTACTTTTTTTCATCTTAAATATATAAAAAATCTCATTTTACTATTTGCTTTTTACAAATGCTACCGGACTCTCTGGACTCAAATTAGTACTGTTAATAATTAGATTCCTCTGAACTATGATTCACATAAGCAGGAAAGCTCCTACAATAATAATTGTAGTTTTGATAAGACCTGGCTACCATTGTAACTAACAAAGACTTGCAATGCAAGCTTTGGCACAGAAAAAAAAAAACAAAAATTGCGATGGCTCAACCTTAACTACCGCATACATTCCTATATCTGAGGCGCAGTTTCCTTTGCTTATTATTCCTGGGTCCTGCCATTTAAAGAAAAACATAGATTTATTTTCAATTAATTCTCTATAAAGAATTCAGATAATTAATTTCTAAAGAAAAAGTTAAAACCCAGAAGAAAGAAACATTAAGTGCTTTTCTCACAAATTATGAATAATAGTTTTAGATAATCATAAATGGGTTTCACAAAAAAAAATGAAAATGCAAACATTACAGTGAAATAGAATAGCACAGGGACAATTGGGGCATGTGGCTGTTGTCCTCAATTTCCGTTAAAAAGTCCGAACTTGATATCTCAAGTGCTCTATCACAAAAAGTTGCTGGGGGAAAATCAAATAGTTCACATTCGACACTAGGGCAATATGAGAAGACCAAGTGTAATTGTCATAATCGATGAATCATAATGGTGTATTATGGAGTAGGGGGTGAAATTGTGATCTTACCAACCGTACCCTTGATGAGAGGAGACCATGAAACTATAGCTTAAGCCTGGATTTAGCATGAATATGTAATTACATTATTCTGATTCAGAGTAACGTGAAAAAAGTAATAAAAGAGGACCATCACATATCATACGCCACAGAAAGCAACTAGAAAAGTTTAATAACCTTCATTTAGTCCACGGAGCATAAAGTGGATTGTCTTTTTGTAACGAGAATGCTTCAACATTACTACTCTTCATTGACAGTACTTCTTAACGAATTGATTTCTTGGGCCACGATATCTTATACAATGATTAACCTCTTGTTATCTCTATAAAAAACCATTTCCCCCATCGTTAATTTCCACAGCTAACAGCTAAAAATCATCAAAGTACTCAAATTGGCATGGCTACCATGGTTGCTTTCTTGAACTTGATCATCATACTTTCAGTAGTCTCTACCGGAAAGTCACTGAGCTTAAACTACTATGAAAATACATGCCCTAAAGTGGAGTGCATTGTTGCCAAGGCAGTGAAGGATGCCACTGCTAAGGACAAAACTGTTCCAGCAGCACTTCTTCGAATGCACTTCCATGATTGTTTCATTAGGGTAACAGAATTTTGACTCTCTCCTTTCCTCTTGACTGTCTGTTTCGGCTTCATTTGATGTGTCATTAAGCAAATCATTTTTTCTTATTTGTTCCCCTGTTTTCTTGAAGGGGTGTGATGCCTCCGTGCTGCTAAATTCAAAAGGAAACAGCAAAGCAGAAAAAGATGGGCCACCAAACGTTTCTTTGCATGCATTCTATGTCATTGATGCAGCAAAGAAAGCACTAGAAGCTGCATGCCCTGGTGTCGTCTCTTGTGCTGATATCCTATCTCTAGCAGCAAGGGACGCAGTTTTTCTGGTAAGTAATCTACTTAAAGTACCAAATTTCTCATCATTTAAATTCTAAACAACTGTTATGTCTTTGAGAATTGATAAATGCAGCTATGGTAACTTGTATTTGCAAGTCTTGACTAATGATATAAATATATTCTACAGTCTGGAGGACCTACATGGGATGTTCCTAAAGGAAGAAAGGATGGAAGAACATCTAAGGCCAGTGAAACCATACAGTTACCAGCTCCAACCTTCAACTTATCACAATTGCGGCAGAGCTTCTCTCGAAGAGGACTGTCTGGGGAAGACTTGGTAGCTCTGTCAGGCAAGTCATCCCTAAAGTCAAAACTACCAAAACTTAACATTTTTCATTTATTCCAATTTATATCTAAATAGAGTTTAGATTAAAATATCTTTTAACTCGTGTAGGGGGGCATACTTTGGGTTTCTCTCATTGCTCATCTTTCAAGAGCAGACTTCACAGCTTTAATGCTACACATGATGTTGATCCTTCATTAAATCCGTCATTTGTAGAAAAACTGAAATCAATTTGTCCACTAAAAAATCAGGCAAAAAATGCAGGCACCACTATGGATCCTTCTTCAGTAACTTTCGACAATACATATTACAGGTTGATCCTCCAACATAAAGGCTTGTTTTCTTCTGATCAAGCTTTGCTCGATAACCCAGATACCAAGAATCTGGTTACGAAGTTTGCCACCTCACAAAAGGCATTTTATCAGGCTTTCGCAAAGTCCATGATCAAAATGAGTAACATCAACGGGGGCCAAGAGGTTAGGAAGGACTGCAGAGTGATCAATTAAAAAATTAAATCAATTTGATAGTTGATGTTCCATACAAGTTATTCAGTACGAAGTTGGTGGAAAAAAGTTCCCAGAAGGGCAAGAATATTGCATCTTTTTCCTCCACAAAAAAGAAATTGGTATGTTTATCTCAAGTTAATAAAATATTAAGCATGTCTTGGGAAATTAATTTAGTAGTTATAAATATCAGTTTGGTAGTCTTGAGTAATGAGTCAAGCAAGGTTCAGCTCGGACAAATGAAAGTATCCCAGCTTAATCAAAGGATGAGAGTCAAGGTAACGATTAAGAACTCAACTTTTGTGAGAATCGAGCCAAACAAACTTAACTCACAAACGACTATGATTTGGAAATTGGCAGATATGATTTTCTTCTATAATAATAATGCTACGAAGTCTTATCATTAATATATCCAATGCAGCCTCAAAGAACATTATTGGCGCATATGGTAATTTTAGGCATAGTTCATGTCTGAGCGTTCACTTTCCCATTTTCCTCCCAAAACTGTTATCGGTTCGAAGATGTTGTTTCTGATATATAGGATGAAATGTTGCGAAGAATGTGACTACCTTCATTGCAAAAGAAATTTTTCTTAAATTATCAACTCAACAATTATATGTGGTTTTCAGGCTCTAGCCACTTAACAGCACTGCAAATACCAACCTGTAAACATCCTTTTACAAATGAGTAACAAAACACCAAGTGATCTTAGAGGAAAATTAAACTAAATATACCTCAAAAACATGTTGAACTAAATAACACTAAAGTTTTCATCAACAATTGCCATCCCAGTTCCCCATCCACAAAGATTGTTGCCTTATACCATTTCTCAAGATTAAGGAACCACAAAATAAAAAGAAATAGTTTTTTCTTCACCTAATGTATAGCAGAGAAGTATGATTTCCATTTTAGGAGGCATTTCTGTAGCGTGATCATGTCCTAAACAGTTTCTTGATCCTATAGATATGAGATGCAAGAAAGCAACAAGAATTTGTATAACAACAGCCGCCCGACCAAAAAAACTGCTAAATTTTTTCACAGTTTTGAGCTACCTCAAGCATTATCTTTTGAGATAGGAGCTATCTCTGCCAATTGAATGTTACCACTTAGTAGTGATGCTTTATCAGATGGAAGAAAGGAAAACCCGTCAAGAAGTTTCAAACACTTTAAGCCCCATTTTCCCATCAAAAACTCAATAAGGTGATGCCCACTGCAAATAATTAATTAGCTAAATTAAATATTCTGCTTGTGAAGTAACAACGAAATTTCCTCACTAGCTCAGAGGATCATATAGACTGAAAGGTACCTTCGATTATGGTATGACGTTATAAAAATCGACCCCGGAGAATTTCGGAGAAAGAATGTCACAGTAGCAAAGAGGTCATCAAAGGCTAAATAATGAGCAAAAAACAGACATTAGTCCAATTCACAGAGGAAGGTGACCCATAAGGTAATAAGTAATGCACTCCTTTTTCATCTCACCATTTGAATCGTACAACACATCGGCCCCTAGAATAAGTGTGGGTTGTAAACTGAATAAGGGTGCATCCCAAACACCCCATGTCAATCCTAACACCTACAAATAGAAGCCAAAACATTCAGAAAACATAAATAATTAACAATATAATAAAATTTCTACTTCATGAACATCCACAAATAAGCATTAAGCTTCCACTCGTTCACCAACTTTTGGAAATTCCATGTCACACACAGACTTCCATAATATTTTACTGAAACATTAACACATTCAACAACGCACATTTTCACCACAGGCTTCGTTATTTGGAATATGTTGAAACAATCACTGTAATGATAGCTTACATTGCACTCAAGCTTGTTCAACTCACAAACTCTTCTCATGTTGTCAAGCACCTGCAAGTCCAAAACATAACATGATGCAGTCAACGAATAGTTTATCTACTAAATTTCGGGATCCGGCCAACAGTTTAACCATTTGCTTATAATAATCATATAACAATACTGTTGATGAAGAACAGAGTCATGTTGGCAATTACTTTATTTATTTTAAAGATCACATATATCCTCAAATGAAGGACAATTTATTCAAACTGGATAAGAATCCAACGAACAACAAAGTTCTTCTTCCAAGTTTTATCAACATCGCATCTGCATATCCAACCAGACTCAAAGTCAAACACTTTTAATCGACTGGGCTTTAGACCCGTACTTTCAACTTGAAAAATTTAATCCTTACATTAGAAATACGAGACTTTAGTTCATTCATTTGCATGCTTAAACTAAACTTAAACATTCAGTGGCATTTTTTTTATCATTAAAAAGTTAAAAAAATGACCAAATTCCCATATTTTCCCAAGTTAAAGAGATTAAATTCATTGATTTGAAACTCTAGGATTCAAAATCAATATTTACCAGAAGTAAAGGGAACAAAAATACGTTTCTTTTTCGAGAACAATAACTGGACAGCATTGATGTAACACCTCTAATCTGGTGGAGTTATCGGTAAGAGTGACACGAGCACCGAGTTTTGCAGCAACCAAGCCAGGCAAGGAAGTTCCAGCACCCAGCTGCATGAATATAATAAGAAAAAACGATGATAAAGGACAAATTATCACGAATTTTTGTTATAATAAGACGTACCTCAACAACGGTGGCTCCTGAAAACCGATGCTTCTGCTGCCACACGTACTCGGCAAGAACTACACTGCAGGGCCAGACGAATAGGCCATAATCTTCCTTCATGTTCTGCGTTGAAGCCACGGAAATAACAGAAGAAGAGTAATCGTTAGTTGGTTGGGAAATTCGGGTCTGCCTAGAGATGTTGGGAAGTGAAGAACCTCGATGATGGAGATGGAGAAGCTTGGAGTTTCAGAATCGTCGCCGAAACAGTGGCGCGAAACGGTGGTCATGGTCGGAGTGTCGTCGCACTCTTCATCGTCCCAATCTTTCTCTTCCATGTCCGAAAAGGAGTTAGCTTGAAACCTCCAAATTTCAGGGGGGAATTTGGGGCTTCCAAACCTGTCTTACGTAAATGTGATGTTTATTTAGGTCAAATATTCACAAAAGTAAAAGAAAATCGAAAGCATAGATTATAAATAAACAACAAAAATCTTTAATTAAATTTTAAATATTTCGAAAGTATTAATGGACTCTTTACTCTCTTTTTTATTTACTCGAAAGTTTAATATTTTTTTAAATGAGGTATGTATCATTTAAATAATTTATTCAAAAGCTTTATATATTTTAAATGAGCATATGTAGTTTAAATTTTTTAATTAATTTAGTGATGTGAATGATATTTTGTTACATTACTTCCTTTTATTTAGTTATCAATGTAACATTTCAAAAATACAATGTAAAATCATATAATAGAAAGATCACATATAATAATATTACAGCTCAGTTTATACAAAAGATAGGACGTACGGTTATGACCGAACAGTCTTACAAAAATAGCAGAGAGTTAAACTGTACAAATAACTACAAATATAGAACGAACGACTTATAATCCTTCCTATGCTGAACAGTCAAATCAAAAGATAAAGTAAATGAATGATCGAACGCTCCTACAAAAGAGTAGGCCAATAACTGACCTAGCGTCCTAAGTTTCGACCTTCACGTCCGTCTCTTCCAATGCTTTTTCCAGCAATCTCTTCTCCTTTTGCTCCCACTCACAGGGTGATCATCGCAATGACAAGGACGAACGAACGGGAATACATGACATGACAGGAAATAGGGTAAGCTTATGTAATTTAATTCAAACATCAATATATATTTCACACAAGTCTAATAACAACCATCATTTACAAAAATCATACTTTTCCCAACCATAATCATATAACAATGCATGCAAAGAATGTTCTTTTTACTCTGATTGTCCTGACTGTATGAATTCTGTGTAGCTACTACGTTCGTGCACTCGTGGAAAGGTAATCTGGAAAACCATCAGAATTACCATAGATGGAAACCCAAGTCTACACGTAAGTTTAGTCTGATAGCTGGAACCCCAAGCTATACGCAACCAGGCCTCCTGCTATTCTCACCGCATGCGCCACCATTCTCTACTTGAGACTCGGTGACCATTAGAATGTTAGGATGAACGACAGCTTAGTCTGACCACATTCATACTTTACCATTCCAATATCAAATCATGAGATATTCCTTCCCTGAACACTCTTTTATAACCAAAGTCATTTCATCCATATCATATTCCATCATCTTTCATTATTAAAACCTCAACTGAACCAATTTGAATAAAGATCCCGTAGGATACCAAATACCGAACGTTAGTTTTTTAATCCAGAACAAGATCGAACACTTGAAGTGAGACCGAGATGTCTCCAACTCAAAACAGATCAAATCGAGAGAGTTACTCACTTATTGTGAAAGGGACCGAATACAATAATAGTTCTCGGAGGCTAATACAATCGAACGTTATTTACCAAGTGAGCTAATTTAATGAACTGACTCTTGATAGTTCAAACCGAACACCGTAAAGCCTAGGCCGAGTACTAACACTCTAGGCCGAACACCATTAGAAACTGATATTGTAGGACATCAAATAATAATAACGGACGTAATTATATGAAGAAACCGAACGATATAAATACTTAGCTTTATTAATGAGTTTAACATCAAGGAGAACGAGTGATAGTCAAAGACTGAGCACTGTAGAGACCGAACGCTATTGAGTTTGGCCGAATGCTCTTATTTTAAAAATCATATTACTGAATTAAGGTCGAGCGCTTGGTTTAAGATCAAACACCACTTAGTGCGAGTACTTGGTGTAAGACCAAACACTACTTAGTACGAGCGCTTGGTATAAGACCGAGCACTACTTAGTACGAGCGCTTAGTGTAAGACCGAGCACTACTTAGTACGAGCACTTGGAGTAAGACCGAGCACTACTAAACTTATAGAATAAATGCTTAATACATATAAGATATCATTTAACTAGTGTTCAAGATCGAACGAAATATACAAATGCATATAGATATACTGAAGTTTATAACCAAATACCAAGGAACGACTACCCTTGGTCGAACACTCATGTACGAATATTACAAAACGAAGACGCTCGTCCTCAACTAGAATTCTCTCCAAATGAAAGAATACAGTTCCAACCGAGTCCACAAGAAAACCGAACACTATATCAAACGAGCGTTGGTCTAATACCAAACACTTGTGAAGAACGAACGCTACTGAAATGAACGCTTGTATAATTGAATGGTCAATACTGACTCTCGACAACATCCCTACCCATTTCATGTTTTTCATTAATCATCAATACTTTTAAACAACATGCCATATTTCATCATCAACCAAATCATCAAACACAATCTCATTCCAGTTTCTCATCTCTTATATTCATATACTCATACAGTCAACAATGCATTAACAACCATTTTTCATATTCATTCAGCAATCAACGAACATGCATCCATTCAAAGCAAGAAACTAAATCAAATTATATAAGATTCCCTTACCTCTAAGCGTAACCGAACGTTCACAAATGCAGCATATGGTTCGCATCTACTAGAGACCTTAGCGTTCTACAGTCACGCCTTAAGAAACTAAATCAAACACAAGACCAGAAATACTCAGAATGAGTGGATCAACTCATGCAACCAAAAATTTGGGTTTGCATGGGACAAAAAACACACGGCTGAGGGAGATATGAACTTACCAACTTGGAATCAAAAACTGATCGGTTCAAACGAACGCCCTCGACACCGGGAGTACTCAAGTGTGGTTTGTTTGATGATCGGAGGAAGAAAAAAATAAGATTTTGTAGAGGGAGGATGAAGAAATCTTAGAGAGAAGGAGGAGAAAATGAAAGTTCAGAACTTTGGGAAAGAAGGGTCCATGCAGAAGTGGTGTGAACTTTTGAAAACCCAGAATTTTACTCCTACCGTCATTAGCGAACGGCCAACCTCCTGCTGCCACCTGTTTTCCACCCTCTGATTTCCAGTTCTCTTCCTTGACATTTGGCTTCCACTCAAATGGGATTTTTAGTGGATTTTAAATGGGTTGACATATTACATATGAGATTTATGATAAAACAATGATTAATGTAAAGAAAAACATTATAGTGATTTTTGTCGTTTTAATTATAAAATTTCACATCTTATATAAAAGAAACAAAATAAGTGATAGATGATAATAATTACATCACTCAATTAAAAAAATTAAAGTTCCAAGTATTCAATTGAAAATCATAAAAGTTTTAAGAAGTACTCAGTAAATAAATAAATAAGAAAAAACAATAGAAACTCAATTTAAAATACTTAAATTTATAAAGAATTGTTAAGCCTAAAAAAACAGTGCTAATGGTTTATTACAACTACAAAAATACACTGTAGGTAGATGAGAGATGAACTCAATAACCTAATTGAAGTAAAATGTGACATTTTTCTCTTGTATTTTCTTTATTTTTTAACATTACTAAAATGTGATATTTTTATCATAAGAACTAAACATATAAACACATGAGTAAAATAATTATTTTCTCTAATCATAGTAAAAATAGAGAGTATGTAATTACATATAATGGAACTTGTCAAATAAGGTTTGTTGGATGTGAATCCATATTTTTAGAAGTTGATAGATTCTTAGTAAAAATATATCATAAACAAAAAAAGTAGTTGATAAGTAAATATTAACTATTGAATCAAATTTATGGAGTTAGATTAAACTTAAATTTTATTATCTTTTAATATAATAATCCTAGAAATTCCTATATACATTATTTTAAATTTTTAAAATTTATGTATAAATTAACTGATAAGAAAATAATTTTATTTTTTCATATGTTTCTGGAGAAGTTTCTCCAAACAGTTAATTCAAACTAAAAGAAAAAAAAATAATTTACTTAAAAAATTAAGGGATCAGATAAAATTAGAGGAAAAATTGAATTTATTAATATTCTGATAAGATTATATAAAAAATAAGTTAAATATGTTTTTGAGTTTTTTAATTTTTAGTGAAAATTAGAATTATTTTTTTCTAAACTTTAGCCTAATTTAATAAAATTTTGATTAAAACGATTATATTTACTTATTAAATTGTTGGCTAAATTAGATTAAAATTTTGAAAATGAATTAGTTTTAATTTTCACTAAACGAGGAAAACATATTTAACGTAATAAAAAATAAATCATAATATTGGAGGCTATTAGGCTTAAATATTTTTTCTAAAAAAGTATAATTTATTTTTGCGCCAGTCCATTGGGCTGCCTGAAGCAATTGGACAATAGAAAAAAAAAAAAAAACTTACCTCTATTTTGCACTGGCCAGATCGAATTCCTTTTAAAAGAACAAAAACAAGGGAGTTGCTCTCTCCACCACCACCAACCACTCTCTGCACCTCTCCATACCTAATTTGTCCTTCTATAAACGGATGTCAATATCCGTTTCACCTTCAACGGATGTGCCACATCCGTTTAATAAATTTTTAAAAATTATTTTATTTATTATTTAAATAATAATATATACATTATATTAATAATAATTATTTTATTAAATAAAATAAAATTAATTTATAAATAATTAAATAATAATTTTTAAAAAATTAAATAATATTTATATATTAATTTAAAATATAAAAAATTAAAAAAAAAAACAAAAAAAAGACAACGGACGGATGTGGCAACATCCGTTTTAATATATTTATAACAAATTTTTTAATTATTATTTAAATAATAATACATAAATTAAATTTAATAATAATTATTTTATTAAAATAAAATAAAATTAATTTATAAATAATTAAGTAATAATTTTAAAATAATTAAATAATATTTATACATTAATTTAAAATAAAAAAATAAAAAAAACTAAAAACCAAAAAAAAAATGTAACGGATGTCACACACATCCGTTTTAATATATTTATAACAAATTTTTTAATTATTATTTAAATAATAATACATAAATTAAAATTAATAATAATTATTTTATTAAATAAAATAAAATTAATTTATAAATAATTAAGTAATAATTTTAAAAAAATTAAATAATATTTATATATTAATTTA